GGACATTTATCGAATATACAGTAACTCTTATAATGCATTAGCAAATTGCTGAAGGTTTGAAATGAATATTTTTCAGGGGATAGTACTTGAAATACTATTTCAAATAATATCATTTCAGAAGTGCTCATATCTGATACAGACCAGGTGTCTTAATACTAACGAGCGGTAGTGTACCCATGCCACTTCGTTTCAGCGTCCAAATATCGCTTTCATTTTTCAAGGGCACCTATGTAGCACCTTTACGTGTATATAGGACCTTCGAAGGTGTTCCGACCGAAGTTTCGTCGTCGTTTGCGACTCGCTTGATCCCATCGCTTGGTCGTGCGCGTCGTCTGTATCGGCCATCACGGGTTCTCCGATTTTGATAACTCGCGGCAAGGTGAACGCACTGAGTTGTGACGCGGATGGAACGCGGAACCGGGGGCAGGCAGGCGTTGCAAGAGACAAATGACCGTCTGCGAGGCTGCGAAACCGCCATTCGGCCCGGCACCGCGAGCGTGCGCGTTCCCTTCTTCCTTGGAACGCTGTTTCGCGAGCGATTTGTCGGCTCGCGAGAGATCTTTTGCTGTTACTGCGTCGCCCCATGTTTCACGGTCGATGGCTAAAATGCTAATTCCCGATTACCGTTTCCTTTTTTTTTTTCTTCTTCCCGTGCCAAATCGTGATTCACTGGTTTTATAAATCATATTCGCCGCGGATTATACCGCGAGGTAATGTATATCCCGCGGCGCAATACGCTTCTCCCTTTTTCTCTTCGATTACCTTTCTTTCTTTTGTTTTCTTGTAACTATCAGATAGAGAGAGAAAGAGTTTGAATCATAGCCCGTGGTGCTCGCGTGATTTCGCCCCTTTGCAGACCTAATCCAGACCGAGTCAAAAAGACGATTCATTGAGAGACGCAAAGTAGTCCTAATGCCACGTTACGGTGTACGGTTAAAATGGACTTCCTTTAAGGTGTTTCGATTCACTACACGGGGAATTGGGAGTGGTCGGTCGATTTCGTTTTGGGGGTAATCGGGCTTGATAGGTGGCGCGAGGGATTGCGGATAATATGATAGTTGCGAGGTTCGGATTGTACATATTTGCGTGGCTTGTGAATTTTTATGGAGACTCTCGCCTTTTGAGTGGCTTATTTGTGTATGCAAGGGTTAAACGGGAATTAGTAGACTGCGGATTTTATGCATTTATAGCCTATACGACTCGGTAAAATATAATAAAAGACAAAGTTTTTATCAGGTGCCACGAGTTTTCTGTCTTCTTCTGAACCCAATAAGATACTTAACAATAAAACTACCAAACCCGACAAAATAACGGATTGCAGGTTTCTCATTTTACCATTACTGAAGTTACAGTAATAGTTTTAGCAGTATTCATGTTGACTCTTTATTTAATATTAATTTTATACTATACTATATTGTGATAGGTTGTATTATATATTACGTATATTACGATATTGTATAATTTAATTTAGTGTACATTGAACGCTGGTAGTTCTAGTGTTATGAGAAGAATGAAATTCCTACATTTACTCTTGTCTTGTGATTGGACGTGTTAACTCAAACAATCGAAACGAAAAATAACATAGGTACGTAAGAGAACCTATTCGACGCCGCGATACGAATATCACACGTCTAGTTTCCTCCGTCGTGGACCTTGAAGCCCGCTTGGTACATCACGCTGTCTGCCCACTGAAATGTTTAACGAATTCTATATCCCGGTCGTGTCAGTGGAAACACTCATTCCGAATTCATAGCGTAAGTTCCGCGCGGCCGATTGTGTCAGACTCCGCGTCGGGAGCACAATCCTCTGTTTCGTAATAACGTCCTCTCTCGTCACTTTCGATACACCGAAACACCGTTCATTAAATCCTTCGATCGAAGAGATCCCCGCACTAATGGTCCAGAATCAAAATTCAGCATCTCGTACGCGTATTTCGCTCAATAGACCAACAATTTGGTAACTTTCTTCAATATTTATTCAAATAGGAAATTTATTTTCAAATAGGTGTGGATAAATGAACAAATCATTAACAATTTTAGGGTTCCTTTTCACTAACAGCGTTCTCAACATCTTCATAAAAGTCTGACTTGTTAGGGAATGTCTTCTCTATTTTCTTTTTTATTGAAATTCATAATAAATTCTCGCGACTTTTGTTAGAGGATAAAGCAAATTTGTTTTCAACCGTTTGACCTGTTAGATTTCGATTCTGGACCAGTGTGCCCCAAGGGGGTGGAATTTCACGCCGCGGATCGCAAAATATTCCTGATCTCGCGAGAAGTCACCGTGTAACGAGCCTCCAGGAAAGGGAAACAGAGAGGAAACGAGAGAAAAACAGGTAGAGAGAGAGAGAAAAAGAGAGGAAAAGTTACAGGGTTGTGGAAGGGAGGAAACCAGAGACGCAGGTAGAGAATCACGAAGAAGACGACATACAGGTGAGAGGGAGAGGACAGAGAGGATCGAGGAGTGATGGAGGGGAGTGTTGTCGATGGATGGGGGGAGCTTGTGACCAAGAGGGAAGGAGGGACGAGTCAGGAGGAAGTCAACGTCCGAAGATTACGGCAATGACATTCGCTTTTTCTCACTCTCCTCCTCGTGTTCCTCCTGGGGCCTCGCTGTCCTTCTCCTTTCGCGATCTTTTCCTCTCTCTCTCTCTCGATCCTCGACCAGTCGCCTCGGTTCGTTCCCGTTTACTCTTTGGTACGCGGAAAACACGGTAGAAACGAGATCTATCCCAACATTTGGCGATCGATCGATCGAATTCAGGGAAACCCGAGATTATCGGAGCTGCCGAGGGATTAGGATCCTCTGACTGTAGGATGTTCCAGAAAATATTGCGGACTTTATTCGTTGTTTTTTTGCTTCTATAGTGACTGGAACAATAGAACTGTTCGTGGAAAGATGGCGGAGGCCATTAGAATGACTGACGTTTTAAAAAAACAATGATCAAAATTCATATAGCATTGGTTATAGACTCACTGGTGGAACACTGTTGATTACTCATATGTGTACCTGATTGTTCGAATTCGTGTCTCTGTACGTTTTTAAGTTTCCTACCCCGTCCGTTACGCGTTTCGAATCCCGCGCGCGCGGTTTTCCGTCCTTTTTTGATTTCTCATTTTCCTTTCGTTTTGATTTGTCTTTCAGCGATGGATCACGTGAAAAGCGGGGAGACCACAGACCCACTGAAAATCGGCGGGCAAGGCCGCGCTTGCGTTACACGAAAAAAGTGTTCCCCGTAGACGGTTCCTCTGCGCCGTGGAGCGAGACGGATAACAGAGTGAAAGGAGGTGCATGTTACGCGAAACAGGAGAGGTAAACAAAGACATACGAAGAAAACACTCGAGAGGAGACCAAGGATCGCGAGGAAAGAAAGAAAAAGGGGCGAGGAAAAGCGGGGATCGACCGATCGCGATCACTAAAACGAAAGAAACGGAACGAATAATGGGTTGAACCCTCGTTCGACGTTTTTCTTTTTTTTTTCCTTTCATTCTCAAGCTGAAACTCCCGTATAGAGACAACGAAGAAGGAAAACCACGAGGGTAGTTAACGAGAGAACATGCCCGAGCGCCAAGACGATCGTCTCGTCATGAACAGTGCTGAACCACGTTTCGAAGAGTCGCGATCCCACGGATTTCCGCAGCCCGCGGCCAACATGGAGCTAACGAGATCGGTCTCATCTTGCATGGAATTGTGACACGGTGCCAAGTGAAGTGCGAATATATCATATATTTTCTATTCTCACCCCCTCCCACCCCCTATAGTCCCACCACTCGGTTCCGTTCGTATCAGTTCGACACGAAAGGATCGATCGTGGTGCTTGTCAAAAACGATTCGTTTCGAGACGCATCCGTTCGTCGCGGGTTTCCATCGCGATCGTATCGGTTCCGTAGACGATCCCCCTCCCCGTACCCCAAGTGACACACGTTCGTCCCGAGTTTGTTGTATCGAAAGTTCTTCTCGCCGAAACGAAACCGGGGGGAGGGGGCCTGTCCAGGCGAAATTAATTCCTCTCGATCGGGCCATCGGATAAGCGGGTGCGAGCGAACGGAATAGAAACGTCTTCGAGAGGGCCCGTAATAAAGCGTCCAGTAATCGTATCAGATTGAATAACAGGCCGGTGGGGAGCCTCAAGGCTACCGAAAACCATTGCCCCCGTCCTGGTGGTGTTCTGTGTATGTGTGTTTCTGTGTCTTTTGGGGGAACAACGAAGAATCGGTGTCGAGCGACACGTTACGCGGCGGGCCCGGTGGTGGTTCAGCTTTTCTAGACGGATTACTGGATAGAGGACAACAGAGGAAGCCTGGTTTCTGCGAGACGTGCCAAAATTGCGTCAACATCGCGAAACGGACAGTGTTTCATTGAGGATCCAAACGGAAGTGAAACGGTCAGCGACCTCGATCAAGCTCCGTGGAATGCTTCGCTCAAGAACCGTGGCGTCGGGACGCTACATCCTGAATAGCCCTTGTCCTCTTCACGGTGCATCGGTCCGCAGGATGAAACGTGGGATCCGCTCGAAAACCTCGTCTGTCTAGCGCGGGTATCACGGAATCAGTGCTATGAGAAGATAACCAGGAAGAACCCCGTGGGTGGATGTGTGTTTTCGTGGACTGGTATGTTCGAACCGTGCGTAAATAAGTGAGTAACCATAGGTGACACGCGATTTCGTGGATAAAAATCAACTTCCAGAGAGACTTGTCCTTTGTGGATCGTTTTGGCATTTTAATATCTCTACACTTGGATATATTCGTGAATTCTCGATCGGTTAGGGTACTAAGACGGTACGTGCGTACGGGAGTCGATCGTTTTCGTGATCAAGAATCGGTGTTCGTCGTACAGGAGGTGGGCCGAACGTCCACGTGTCACGGTTTTGCGGATAACAACAGTTATTATGTGCTGTCGAGCGGACGGAAGGTCAAGATCGATCCAAGTGGTGCGCGAATGGTGACCGCAGTCGTTAACGAGGTGCACCACCGACTGCATCGTATACACGCCCCCGTAAAATGGACGTTTTCAAAATCGACCAGTCGCTGACCGCCGGTCTGGGCAGCGCCCCGGCGCCGGACACCCTTACGCCGGAAGTGTCGTTCGACGCCGGTAGCGAGTTCAATCTGAGCTTCTTCGACGGACCGGAGGAGAACAGCACGCAGGGTTTCAGCGATCCTGGATCAGTTGGTAGCGCCAGCGCGTCACCGCCGCCAGGAACACCCGGCGGGATAACCGTTAATCCCCCAACGGCCGCCCTACCGATTGTCCAAGTGCCCTCCGGCATCGTCATTAAGCAAGGTTTGTTTCATTTTCTTTTTGTTCTCGTGTTTCTTTTTCGTTTTCGCCGTCCTCCTCGATTTTTCCTTCGTTTCGGTCGACGCGTGGATGGCCTATCGGTTTTTACGGGAATCGAACGCGACGATTGGTTTCGACAGTTTTTTTGTTTGTTTTTAGAGCCAAAAAATACCAAACTTGTCGAAATGAGGAATTTGAAATTTTTTGTTTTATAGTTTACGGTAAATATGAAGGTGATTTTGTCGATTTCATCCCCTCGGACGAACCCGGATCATTTCCATTGTGTTCTGTAATATTCACTTTTAGATGCTCGTTTTGTTCTGATACGGGTTTCGGAGCGTGCGCGCCCAATAAGAAACGCTATTGGCGAGTGGCGCAACGTTTCCGTGTTATTGTTACGTGTTGCGCCCGGTTTAGTAATATGTTCGATTTACAACGCGAACGGGCGGTTATGAAATCGAACCTGGTGGAAAAAAAGAAGAAAAAATCATCGGCTGCCTGTTTCATTACGGAACCAGGAAAGGTTGTAACTGATTGATTCAATTTTACGGTCGATGGCCGTGGATGCAGAAGAGAGGAGTGTGAGTAGTATTTGGTGTTATTGGAAACAGATTTAGATATTGTTGCTGGTACGTTCCCTGAATGCGTGGGCGTACAGAGCGTTATATGTTATACGTGTGGTATACGTGCACGGAATATGGGTGTCGACGATGTGCATGGGATTGTTCCACGTTTGGTAAAATGGGCAACGTTGAATAGGTCTGTCGAAGTTTCAAATTTTTATCAAATGAAATATATCATTGTAGAAAGGAATGCTAGAAAGTTCTGTCAAGTGATTTCATTTCTACGGAAACAAGAATAGAAAACATAGTTTTCGTACCGTGGCTCTGATAATAATTTGATCACTCACGGTAGACAATTTTCGTGACGGAAACCAAGGTGATCCACACAATTTTACCGACAGCGATAATCCAATCCATCATGATCCATCTGTCGGTTGTTTCGAAGCTACCTGTATAAACTTAAAATTAGGCGATCGATCAGTTGTACCCATGGCGGACCGAGCAGCATTTCATTCCAGACAACACGACCAGGGGAATCCACGATTCCGTTCAAAGCCGGCTAATCCATCAATTTCGTAGATCCATCCGAAAAACAGAAACTTCGACTTCACTTCTTGAACAGGAATCTTCAGGGTGATATTTCCCCCTGATTGATAGCTTCCCCCTCCCAAAGGACACTTTCAATTGTCCCAACGATATCGTTCCTCCTCGCAACACCCAATAACGTATGCGACACGAAAATCGTCTTTCCCAGTCATGGGCGTAGCCAGGTTATCAGTCAGGGGGAAGGGCAAAAATATTAACACATCGACTGCCACAGTGAAAAAGGACGTACGTAGCCAGACACATTTTATTTTGTTTTTAAAGTCATAAATTGTTGGAAATGTATACGTTTTATTAATAGAGGCTGTTGTTAGTGTTTCAAACTGTACTACAATATTAAATATTACGCAAAAATTTTATAACTCTGGCAAGGGGGGGGGGGCAAAATCCAATTTTTTTCTTGTAGGGTGGGGCAAAAGCCACTTCTTTCCGTCCAGGGGGGGGGGGCGGATCCTCCTCCAATCGTTTCCACCCTTCTTCTCACAGTGGTCGTATCCAAGTGTTTCGTGGAGGCGCTCTCCCGTAAAGGTTACTATACAAATTGGAAAGGTCGTCGTCTTCGAGCCAGAGTTTTGCAATATTCGCAATTCGTCTCGCGGGCCGACACAATGCTATCGGTCGCCATGGAGTTACCAATATAAATCTATCGAGCTGGCTACCATCGGCCTACCGATTTCTCTTTCAATTGAGTTTTCTTTTGCACCGTTCCCCATTGTCTGAGGGGTAGGGGGAGTGGTAGGGAGGAGGAAATATCGGATCGAGAACTGGTTTCTTGCATCCACGTTGTGAATCCAGCTTCACAGCTTACCCCTTCCTGCCACTTCCCCCCCCCCCTTGTCCCTGGTCTCTGTTCGGAAAAGGGAGCGGGCCCGCTGACATTTCACTTCGAGCCCAGAGAGAGTCTACAGAACGAGACACGTTTCGTCTTCGAGGCATAATGGTGATCTGTTATCGTTTCAGAGAATCAGACGAGTCGAACGTCGATTAGCCAAAGGGTAGAAAATTGGGTCGCTATTTAATGTCAGCTTGGTCAGGAAGAGACTGACGCCTCGAGACTTTGGGATGCACTGTTAATAGGTACAAAAAGTATTTTCAAAGGGGCTCGAATATTTTGTAAGAAATGGTAGCGAATGAAACAGGAAGTATATTCGGTTGAATCAAAGACTTCTTTCGAATTTTCACACTAGAACTACTAGACCACCGTAATACGAAACATTTAGTCTGTTTAAACGATATATTAAAAATTTTAATTTATTTATTCAATTTTCTTATGTAACTATATACAATTTATTATGCACACAATCTGATATCTTCCGATTCTCCTGCAGTAAATCAAGGATCATTCCGAAACCATCGGAATCTTCTTACGTAGTAGTCTGTTTTCATTTTTCATGCAAAATTCGATCAAAAATATCGTCCACCGGTATTCAGACCGTCAAAAAAAACTACAGAAAAAACACACAGAATCACTTTTCCATCGTCTATCGTCGAAATTCGTCCTAACCAAGTCGCTGGAGGTCGCCGTTTAAATTATACATTCGTCTAAAAATGTCCGCGGCGTCGATCTGATGCCGGGTTCCCGAAAATCCAACTTTGAATTTCAATCTCCGATCCGGTCAAGGTCTGACGCGCGTGAATCTCTTGTTCTGGGATCACTTTATAGACGTATGTACATATTAACCCTTTAGTTACGGTGGATCTGGCCGACTATACCATTGTACTGATAGTTTTAAAAAATAAGGAAAATAATGGTGACATTTCTGCATCATCCATGCAACGTACACTTCTTTGGAAGAAGGTACACAAGTGAGGCAACAATACTACTGAAGTTTGCTCGTGTCACGCGCTGTCGATAACTTTCACGCGTGTCGAATGTTCCTCGAGAGCGAGAGCCACCGAACCATTCGCTCCTTTTAGAGGCGAATTCACGGAGGAACTCACTGGCGAGACGGTCCACGAGCCGCAGTTTATCACCTTGGCCCTCCATCCGCGTAATTCGTTCGGCGAATCTTCCCTTGGCTGAAACTTCCACCGAGAAACTTCGCCCTTTACCTCCCACCCACCTACCCATCCCCTAAACAATGAACTCCTTTTATGAAACTCGCGAATTCACTTAATCGCTCGGCGACTTCGCCTGCTTCGTACTTTTCAATCCAACCCATGCTGAGCCACGGAGATACATGGTCGAAGTATTTCAAATTTTCTTCACAAAAAGTCGAACAATATTGGGAAGATGTAGGTTCCATCGGTAGTTGTCGCGAGGAATTAGAGACGGAATGCAGGTGATATTGTTACAGTGGGATGTGTACCGCCGCACGAAATTTTATTTGTTAACCTGTGGTGTGCATGTAATCGGGATATCCAGGAGAGGAAAGTCGATTACAAATTAGAAAAAAGAAACAAAGTCTCGCTCGGTGATTTCGAGTCGACGTTCCGTTTCTTTGATTCAGGAGGTAAAAGTGGATCGAATGGGATTATAGCCTTTTGATGCTGGCTAATGAGAAATCCTTATCGATCCTCGTTCGCAAGGTATTGCTTGCGTAATGAGCAGTGAATTTGGAGAAATTTTTAATACATAGGGTCTTTACTGTTATAGATAGTGATTTAGATCATTTTTATGTTAAGGCTGTTGTAGGGATTCGAAATTGATGGGTTGTTCAGTGAAAGACGGATATAAATTATCTGATATGAATTATTATTAAGCAGAAAATAGGACGATAGATGGAAAAGAGATACGTCCATAGGATTCTTTATTGCAAGTAGAAACGGGCCGTGATTGACAGACACCTTAGGTAATCGCATTCAGGATCGGGCGTGCTTGGCGAAGCTTTAAATTGTATTTTTTTTTTAAAAAGAATCTTGATATAAGAAGATTTTATTTCGTAATTTTTATTTATTCTTTCTTGTCAATTCTCTTGTATATTGATTATGTCATTAACAACGTTCCAATCGTTTCAATAATCAACACGTTAAAAAGTATAATTCCTATTCTGACAATACTACTTCAAAGTAGCAATTTATCAAAAAATATAACATACATCGACACCGTATCATGAAGTTTTTAATAGGCACCCCTAAATTAGAGAATAATCATACAATACGATTTGACAAACTTCCATCTAATAAGTAATCGTATTTAGAATAAGTAGAAAAAGTACGCAATGGTCAGCCACTTCAGTCGAACCGTATCGAATAGTCCGAATGTCTGCACGACGAAAAAACGTTCGATTTTCTCGAGAAACTCGTTTTTTCGAGTGAAAAATCCCAATTCCACGATACTAGATTTCATTTCGCCCTGAGAAATCGTCATCTCACGGTCGGCTGCACACCACGATTGCCGCTGCCACGCCTCGTATGAATGTCCAGAGATCGAGGAAGAGGATCGTAACAGGAAACGAAAGGATCCGAAAAGCCGGTATAATGTATTACATTATGCCGACCGCGCCTGCTTAAGGAACCAGTCCTGCTATTTTTACTGCGTTATGTAATCCTTTCACCAATACGTTCCGGACAATTCAGTTTTAACGACAGCATATAAGCTGCGCGAACGGTGTGGTCTAGATCAGTGACGAGCAACGTTTCGGCCCGAATGTGGATTATTTTGATTACCGTACGGGTTCAAAACTTATTAATTTAATAATTTAAAAATGGTTAATTTATAGGGTGGAAGTTTTTAAATTATTGACGGATCGTAGGTTGCTCGTCGCTATACTGCAGACGTTTACGCAACTATAATATCCTTTAATGTAGAAAATTAATTTTTCTTTTTGGAAAATGAAGATAAAGGATTTAATAATGTTTAACACTATTTATGTATTATTATTAACCCTTTAACTA